GCATGAAGTGCAAACGTCATTTGGAGAGTTAGTCTGTTCAACGAGAACAAAAAAACCTCGAGAAAGTCTAGGACCAAAAGGGTTTCCGCCTTGCTCTTTTTTGTTCTGAAATAGAGCACAGATTGTGAACACTTTGTTTTGAAATGGGCTATAGTTTGTACACACCGACCTAGAGTAGCTTCACTCTCCTGTTCTCTGTTATTTAAACAGACCATTCGTTTTGCCTCGTTCCACTGCGCAGTTAAACAAGATTCGTTTTAGACATTTACCATTTCACGGGTACAAATTAAACGGAAATGACTGTCGACCAGTTCCCTACGGTTTCACAGACCGATTTCATAAATGGCGTCGACTTTGATTTACAATACGTTAAGAAACGTCACCCTCATGTTTATGGGCGATTTCCATTCAGCCAAAAATACCGGAGCAGTTTTAAACGGGCCTAAACACTTATGAGCTGTCTAGTTTCTTTTAGGCCTCCTCGGCACTTTGGTGTTCAATTTTTATTCTTCCATTTACGTTTTAACTCGTGAATCGCGTAAGTAAAGTACGGGTTGTGGCGCGGGATGAGATTATACAAATTATTGGGGGGGTTGGTCGAACGCAGACTTTTTTCCAGCTGCCGAAAATACGTCTGCCTTCGCAGGCTAATCAGTTTCATTCGTCTGTCCTGTTATTGATCAGTGGATCCGCAAACTACTTTGGCAATGTTATGACGAAATTCATTGTCAGTAACAGTACAGACACATGAAAAACTGACATCAATTTGTTTTTTACAATAACAAGTTGTCAAATGTCCGTTCTCGCTCGTTGACGCATCGCAAAAATTATAGATTTGTGTCTGTCCGCTTAATGACAATGAAAATTAGCCAATGAGCGCGCGAGAATTTCTTTAGTTATTTTAAAATAACCTTTTGCGCAATTTCGCTGTTTTGCAGAAGCATATATCGTTTAACATATTTAAGACAACTTGTTAGTAACTGCGATTGTTGTGCTAAAAATGGAACTCTTAGTTCAGATAACTCGAATTAAATGGTTAAAACTACTGGTTGAATTGTTGATTAGAGAAAGTGTTAATGGTAGCTTAAAACTGTCAGTTCAAATAACTCAGTGTTAAAATTTTCCAGTTCATTCGTTGGTCGGGAAAAGTCTTAATCTCTATCGTTCGGGCACACATTACGCAACGGTGACGTAGATACTGCGAAAAGCTCAATTATCTCACGAAAAAGCTGACTTATATCTGTCACGTTCGTATCATTGCGTTGGTAAACAGTTTTTAAAGAACCTTTCTGCTGTGTGGGCATTAAGTCCGGAGAAAAGATCTTTGTGAAAGTTTACGGTCAGAATCATTATTTTCAATCAACAAGCTTTGGTGGTTGCTTGTCATTTTTTCCACCTTAAAACATGTGTTGCTTTTTTCATGAAAAGAGTAATTCCATATTAGCTCCTATTACCTAAAAGGCTAGCTCTTATCAATCATATTTGCGAGTTT